TGACGAAACGCGTAGGGGCGAGAAGCATACATTGAGAGGTTATGGTGTGGGAGTTTATATGAATGGTTTTTTGACTCGGGTGAATCGGTTGTGATCTTCCTCGTTTTGTGTCCTTGCCTTTTTTTGCTCTTTTCGCTCTCTTTTCTCTCGTCTAACGTGGTAACCGGTGGTGGATGACATGACACGGTGGCTAGGGAGGGTCCTTTGCTTCGGAGGTTCAAGCGTGATTGTCTGATGAACTCACAAAGGAAGATTAATTGAAAGTGGGAGGGGCGTGATCGACTCCTCTCGCCTGAAGACCTCAGGAGCTGGGAAGCTATGGTAAAGGTTCGAGGACAGAGGATCACGAGTCTGATGAGGCGAGGCGCGATTGCGCTTATCGTGGGTATTGGCGGAGTATCTACAGTGCTTGTATTTTGTGGAAAGACTTTGGGTAAGGTGTGGTACTTCGACTTGGGCGTTTCGGTTAGTTGTGTTAAGCGATAAGGGGATGAGTGGGGGGAATTTCGGAGAAGAGGAGTTCGATAGGCTATGGCAAGATGTGGCGAATCTAGTCTATGATAGAGTGGTACCGATGATCTTTGTGGCATTAGAACTACCGAGTGAGAGTACCAAAGAAGAGTTGACGTGTGTTTTGGAGAGATTTCTAGGTCGGCTGTATAGTGTAGGCTGTGTGGTAAGAGATAGAAGGAGGAGGAGAAGAAGGCAGCTAAGGAGGCGGAAAGGTAATCCGGAATGATGCAGAATCCGGGAGGTCCAATGATTCAGGGAATGGGGAATGGAGTCCCGGTGATGGGAACCAATCAGCAAGGAGGAGTGTCCTGTTACCTATGTGGCAAAGTGGGACACTATGCGCGAAACTGTTGGGCGGGAGGGAACGGCCGACCACCACCCGCACAGCCAACCGCTTTGGCAGGATTAGGTGATGAAGAGACAAGGGAGTTTAGAGAGTATTTAAGCGAAAAAATTAAGAAGAAGAAATTGGACGAGGAGAGGAGGGAGAGAGAAGAGGAGGAGAGAAGAAGGAGGGAAGAGGAAAATAGAAAGGAGAGAGAGAGATTGAGAGAGGCTGAAGCGAGGGAGGCGAGGCTTGAGGCGAGATTGGTGAAGCTGCTCGCACAACACAACAAGGCGGGGGTACAAGGGAACTCGTCGGTGGAAAGGAAGAAATCACCAAGGACAAAGGCGAGAGTTTTGAGAGATATAACGAGCTACCTCGAGGAGTCCGAAGACGACAGCGAAGAGGTAAGGAAGGAAGCAGGGAGACTAGTAGCGGCCATCGAGAAGAGAAAAGGTAAGAAAAGGATGAGTGAGGAAGAAGCCAGAGTTTCCAAGATCAGAAGTGTGAGGAAAGGGATGAGAGAGGATCCTGTGAAGATTGAGGAAGAAGAGGAGGTTCGTACCCCTCCACGAGACCTGAAGGGCGAAGAAGATCAGGGGATTCTCGATTTCGCGATCGAATTGCATCGACATCTGTCTGAGAAAAAAGTTCCCGAACTTAGGAAGCTCTGTAATCGTGAAGGAATTGAATGGTCCAGGAGGGACACTGTCATAGGCGAATCGGTGAAATGCAAGGCAAAATTAGCGTATGTCAAATTCGCTGAGAAAGGTAAGGTTGCTCACTTGTTTGATAACTAAGTCAAGAGTATGGAAGGGTTGAGGAGGTTGATGGTAGACCGCCCTGGGATTGATAGTGTCGGGAGAGGGAGATTGAGCGTTGAGTACGAAGATCGGATTTTTCGATGTTTTCTTTTATGCGTGATAGAAGGATTCTGCCCATGTGGGTTGGGTTGGTGAGCAGTTCTGAAAATGATATGTCCACAGCGAACCCGGGGGTGTATGCGTTGGTCAGCCCGTGGTGCCGCCATTTCTATATTGGTTGCACCACGAAAGCAGTTATCTCCCGATGGTCCGATCACGTGAGCAAAGCAATGGGTGGGGAGGTGGGGTGTGCACCCAAGGTGCAGTCGTGGCTCCGGTGTTTTGGATGGAAGAATTATCTCGTCATCCCGCTGATAGATGGAGTCGATGATTTGTTTAAAGTAGAAGCGGGTTTAATTAAGAAGTTTTCCCCTGCGTTAAATATCCAGGGCAGAGGGCCTGAGGTGAAATGGAAGAAGAGGAGGAGAGGAAAGAGGGAGAGGGGGAGGAGGAAGTCCAATTCGTTGGGAGGAGTAATGTTGAAATTTAATACTCGATCATCCCTTATTGATGTAGTGAAAGAAATAAAGGGGGAAGAGGAGAACCAATGGATCACCTTGTCTGGCAGGGATATGTGGTTGGACCGGTGGAGGGTGGTGAGGAGAAAGATAGGAGATACGGCATTATGGGTGAATGGAGTAGAGACTCCTATAAGGGAGTGCAAAAAGACGCTAGAGGAGGGTGGAACGTATCGGGTAGGGAAAGTGGCGATCATGCCGTCAGGGATTGAGCATAGGAAATTTGTGTTGAGGGACGTACTTCGACAACCGTGGAGGGTGAAGGGGTTGTATAGGAAAGGTGCGCAGGGGTTGGTGGCATTGTTTCAGACCGGATCGTGGTTTGGTCAGAAAAAGACGCAGCATCGGATTAAGAATCTTATCAACAGGATTGTGAGAAGGAAATTCGGAGTAGAAATAAGGAGAAGACCTTGCGTGAGAGTTCCTTTTTCTCCGGACCTGAAAATGGGGGAGGTGAAAGAAGTAGCAAGTAATACGACTTAGAAAGGAGGATTGGAGATGCATATTGCCGGGTTCGTCGCGGGAAGGGTGAGAGTGGTTACGAACTTACGACAAAGAAGGCTTCGGTTGGGATGATTATCCACAATCAGTGGAAGTACGCAGAGATGGAAGAAGTCCTCTGCGCATGTGAAGGGATGAATCTACCTAGACATGAAGGCCATGTTCGGGTGAGGGTGAACGATATAGAAGAGTTACCTTGTTTTGTTTGGAACTCTCGCAATGTGACGAAGGGCGACGCTGTGTCCCCTTGGAAGATGGAAAGGTGTATTTGGGAAGGGGTGAGACAGTGGGTGACGTGGGAAGAGAATCCAGGTATCATGGAGCAGGTGGTGAGGTGCTACAAGCAAGAGAGAGGATCTAAATCTGAGGCTATGACCACTACAGAGGTGCGGAGGGTGTTCTCGGGTTATAACAGGCTGGTTGCAGTGCCGATTACCGTAATCCGGGCGCGACTCTGCTGATATGCCCGACGGCTTACCATCGGGCATGCAAGGATACATTTGGAAGAAATCCGAGTTTCCGGGTAATTCCTGAGGCCGAGGATAAGGTACTAAAGAGGATGAGAAGCAATTATGAGCAGCAGGGATTGACAAGTATTGCGAGGTGGCAATCTGGCGGGAAGATCGGCCTTGCGTACGTTTTACCGAAAGACAAGGATCTACAGCGGTGGAGGCCAATATCCCCAAGTACCTGTGATCCGTCCAGGGTGGCCGCAGCTCGAGTTGGACGCGCTATTCGATACATGCTGTTCGGCTTGTCAAGGAAGGAGCACTTCGATTTGAAGTCGATGGATGAGGTGGGGGAACGCAGTAAGACCATCGAGAGAGAGTTGGGCAAGTCGGCGGACGACGCGTTTGCTCGGAGCTATGACATCAAGGATATGTTTGCACGCTTGTCTCACGAAAGCGTGGTGGAGGCAGTAGAGTGGGTGGTGAAGTATCATCAGAGTAAAGGGTTTAAAGGGGTACGGGTGAGCTGCCGGAGGAAGCTGTGCACAATGATGAGGAAAATTAGGAAGGAGGAAGGATTCGTCACCATGACCTTCGAAGAAATTCGGAGAGAGGTGGGGTTTGAACTTTCTCATTCGTTCGTCCGCTGTACGGGAAGTTTGTTGAGACAAGAGATGGGAATTCCTATGGGGAGGAATTCGAGCCCGGCGCTTGCATGTTTGGTATGTGCCAGGGCCGAATCAAGGTTCATGGCGGTGACGCAGAGAGAAGGGGGAATGATGAGAGGAATGAGGATGATAGATGACGTGGCGGTGATCGGAAAGCAACCGATTTGTTGGACCGGTTTGAATGTTGCTATGATGAGAACCTCAAGTTGATTCGTAATGACGAAGGGGGCAATGCATTTGATTTCCTTGGGGCAAGAGTGCTGGTGGACATTGAACCTGTTAAGATCCACGTCTTCCCTAGGACATGGAATCAGCAATCCCTGTCCAAAGACGGAAGGTTGAGGGTGCAGTCGATCCAGGATTTCGCTTCATTCACGAAGAAGAACACGAAGAAAGAAGCAGTGTATGTGAATCTTGTGAGAATGAGAAGACTGTCCACTTCCGATGATGCTTTGAAAGCCGCCATCGCTGCACTGATGATTGAAACTCGCCTCCGGGGGTACCCCCCGGAGGTCTCTCTCGGGGCCCTAGACAAATTCGCTAGGATGTCTGGGGGTCTGTAGGGAGTTTATCTCCCCAACAAGTACCCCGGAATGAGGAATTTCTAAAAAAAAGGGGCACGCATGGGTTTCGTATGGGGTGGGCGGCTCGCGGGGGAGTGGTACCCTCAATTCAGAATCGGGGAAGGCCCGAAGGTGTCGATTTGATGCTAGTAGTCCTGTATACTATCCGTTTTTGAAATCACGGTTTTTGGTAGGAACGGGGAAAGCTCCGGTGAAA